CGCCCCCCGCGGTCTCTGTATCTTTCATGTGCTAATATTCAGAGGTTATGAGTCCCAACTCCATCTCTCTCGACACACACGAATGAATGAGCATACACATGAGCGTATACATGTGTAGCGAGCATGTGAATGGGGCCTTCCTGAGCACAATAACAAGCACCACTCTCCAAATTCCTTCTCTGTGATTCGGGTTTTAAGCCCATAAAATCTGCTGTTTATGGATAAGAGCGCACAAAGGACTTGGAGGCAGGAGGAGGCCATCTTAAACTCGGCCTGTATATCACACATTGTGCCCCCTTTACCACCATTCCTTTCATTATTATTTTCCACATTCTCACTGCTGGAGGTATCTGTAGAGCCTCTGGGCAAGCTCTATTTGTCCATATGTAGTTCTTATTGGAGAAACAACAGGTTCACACACATACATACACACACACACACACACACACGCACACACACACCCAAACTTGTTCACAGCTCTTCATCTTAGCAAGCTGTACTCCACAAATAAAGCACAAATAAAATGTCTATCTTTTGCCTTTGAGCACACTTCTAGTCCAACAACAAGAAAGACGCATGTTTTTGTTGTGACCAAAAATGTTAGGATCACAGTATACGGAACTATTGGTTTCCAAAAAAGAAAAGAAAGTACATATACTGGAATCTGGTTTGCATTCTTTGAGTCAGTGAGATGAATCATACATGGGCAATAAAGAAATGTATACTGGCAATATATTTCTTTTATGATTTTGAAAGCCAGTGATTTTATTTGAATCATAACATAATAAAGGTTCAACCTTTCTCCTCCAAAGTGGTCATCACAAATCAACTGGAAACTTCTAAAAACATGACAGGGTGTTGTAACACACATACTCACAACTACAATTATTGTTTATAGTAGAGAAATAGAGCCGTGGCGATACTACAGTAAGGTCTGTTGAAGGTTAAAGCATTGCAAATCTTTTCATAGCCTTAAAAACTAAATTCCACTGAGAAGTTTTGCTTAAACAACTCACAAATCAGATATCACTCTTTTGCAATATTATAAGATAAAGCTTTTTGAAAGAAGTAAGAAAACATTCCGTCCCTCTCTGGTTACAGACTGTGTGTACATTGGCACAGATAGAAGACATTATTTTAGCAAAGGTAATATAAAGGTAATAAAGACAAGGAATTACTACTGTTAAGTGCTGGAAAAGATCACATTAGGGATTAAAGGACTCAAATGATGTCAGAAAATAGTAGCAGAATGTGTTGGCAGAGCAGCTGTTAATCACAGAGTAAGACTTCTCACACTCACACATGCTATAAATTGTTAGTGCTTGGCTTCAGTGCGTAAAACAAGATATTGCACCACCTGCTCCTGGTTGGGCTTGGCATGTTATTAAGATAATATAAAACTGTTTCAGATTTCAAAGTCTGGATAAAATCACCCATAAATCAGCAAGAAAGAACATCATGCTTTTCCAATCCAAGATTCAAGCTGTAATATATCACTCCTCACTACATTTTCCAACTTTATATTTTTCAACAACAAACTTATATTTTTAGACACTTTGGTTTGTCCATCAAAGTAAAATGTCCCTTTCATTTAAACTCATCTGCAAAGGCAATGCCCACTTCCCGAAAAAATAGAATATTCCCTTCTTCCTATTCTTGAGGAGAAAACAACTTTTTGACCTTTAATACTAGTTTTGAATTGTTCACAAAAATACAATTTGTTCAGCCATGATCCCCCAGATAGAATATATTACTAACACATGAGAGTAAAACATAATCTCTCCTTTGCCAACTTGGCTTCTATAACACAAACACAATACGATAAATGAGAAACTGAAAGACTTGTTTGGATTTAGTCAACATTGTTGTGACAAAGATGCTTTCAAAAATCAATTTGACAAATTGGATACCACAACCACAATATTCTCGAAATGTTGCACATATATGAGTTGTGCTTTATTGTGTTATTAAAGAAATGCCTGTTTTGACCACTCACGCCACATGATTTCATATCAAAGTAATGCAGTTTTTTATACTGCATTATCCAGCTTTGTTATCCTGTTCTAGGTATCACGATACACTTCCACAATGACCTCTATGGAGTCCACAGAGGAGCAGTGCCCACCACAGTGTGCACGGCTCTGTGTGGCTCTGTGTGGCTCTGTGTGGCTCTGTGTTGTTCTCTGTGTGGCTCTGTGTGGCTCTGTGTGGCTCTGTGTGTGGCTCTGTGTGGCTCTCTGTGTGGCTTTCTGTGTGGCTCTCTGTGTGGCTCTGTGTGGCTCTCTGTGTGGCTCTGTGTGGCTCTGTGTGTGGCTCTGTGTGGCTGTCTGTGTGGCTCTGTGTGGCTCTCTGTGTGGCTCTCTGTGTGGCTCTCTGTGTGGCTCTGTGCGGTTCTGTGCTGCTCTGGGTCTGGGATGAGTGGCCACATTCTAAGTAATTTCCTGTGAGGTGAAAGTGCAGCTCACACCTTTTCAAGCTGAACTAATCTCACTCCAGAGATATGTGCCATTATTGGAGTGCCATCCAGTAATTACACAGCTCCAAAAAATGCTAAAGGATCACAAACGTTAGCCTGGCCCCTCGTCCAGCCCCCAGGGCCCTCCCGAAAACTGCTCTGAGGGCTGTTTCCTAAAGCTCATTACAGACTCCAAGCTTTAAGTTTGTATGAATGTGAAACTGAATCCAATTGATACAATGTAAACAGCGTCTACCAGTGTTTGACTCTGCTTGTAAATTTTCATCAGGCCTTAAAATATGTTCCCTCCAGCTAGAAACTGTCAGCACGTGTCATTATGATGTTCTGCAGCAATAAACCAATCAATATTGAGATCTCATCAAAGCATCTGTGGGAAGTATACAATAAATACAACAGCCAGCATTGTTGAGGACGCCAAACGATCTAGAAAATGTCATCATTGAGTAGGGGTGGGAACCTCAGGGTACCTCACAATACGATACGATACGCGATACAAAGCTCACGATAACGATCATATCACGATATGACGATTATCGATATATTGGTCAGAAATATACTGTTATGGAAATCTTTTAGTAGAGCAATCTGAATAAACACGAAATAGTTATAAGTATAAGTTATTAACTAATTCTCAACTCTGGATTCAAATACAGCACATTATGGTCTGTAGGCAGCAGGGTCATAGAACAATATGTTCAGGTTAAAAGCAGATTATTACAAGTATCAGAGTTGTATCCGAGTAAGGAAGCGTACAGAGGAGCCTTGAGCGACACATATCAACAATGACTTCATTTGTCTAATATCTAGAGTAGATATGTCTTTGTTTACGCTGGTCTATTTAATGTCCTGCTTCGTGGCAGACGGTTTCAGACGGCTGCCCGGTGGTATCGGTATCGGTTGTATTATTCATGTATCAATGAATGAACTCACACTTTGATTGTATTACAGCTCTTGGTTGTTTACATTATTTTTGCTCCCGGTCTGTGCAGAAATACCTATGATTATTTATGACATAAATAAAAGAAAAATGTCAAGTGAAAAAGTAAACTTTATTTCATGATAAATGGAATAGAGATGCGTAATGTAGCCATACATTAAGTATTGGTAATAAAAATAATAATTATTATAATTTGAAAAAAAAAACTAAAGTTTTTTTTTTTTTTTTTTAAATTGATACTTGGCAAAAGCATATAGATAATCGATCACGTGAGAAAGTATCATGACACATCACGATATCTCCTTTAAGTGGGTAGTTTGGCAATCTATGTTTCAGAATATCAGCCTTGAGCTAATTATGGAATATTCGCCGTGGTAGCAGTTCATTAATACAGACTGCCCCATTAAAATAAATAGATAAATCAGATTCAAAATACATTACTCTATATTTTAAACAAATGTTTTAGTTTTCTTTATATTTCTTTTTGATCAGTCTTGTTTCTTTTTGCTGTGATATATGTACAGAGTTGCTCAGTATCTAAAGTATATCATTCTTATTTTGTGTAGCTTTGTCTCAATATCTATTTACTTTACCATTATTTATATTGTTTCATTTCATTCTTCCCATGCAAGAAAATACATATATGATTTGGCTTCATGACTGTTTGTTTTTATATTGATTGAATTACAGTCAACTCTCCCCAAAACAAACAAAATACAGTTTCTCAATGAGAGTTAGCGAGAGCCGTAACAATGTATCAAGTTATAAAACACCACTGTTGTGATAAAGCACATTTGTACAGCAATTTTTGGGAAATTGATAGCATTGTTTGGTGAATTGTTTTTGGCAGCCATTTTGTTATTGTCCTGAGTTACCCCACAATTACAATTGCGGTGGGCCAGTAGCGTCACTGTCTTAACGAACCATGAGATTTGTAAACGCTTGTTTTATTGGTTCCAATGAAAAGACCATGAAAAATATGTTTGGGGACATTTGTCTTGGCGGCAGTGGTGTATTCATAGATTACAATGACATTCACTCATTCGGCACTCAGATTGGATTATGCACTAAAACAATGCATGTTAAATGTCAAACAAGTTAGAAATATACTTAGTGTATTCTTTACATCAAATATCAGGATGGAGTACTACCCATAAGCTACATCCATTCCTGGTCTATCTGTTGACGGTAAAGCATTATCAGCACACAGCAAGAAGTTGTTAGCCTGACCTTAGCCACCTGTAAACTCTGGTTAAATATTAATTTCCTACATGTACAAAACGAAATTAGTACAATGGTGTGGTAAGATCAGGGGAAGAAGTTGTAGGCCTTTTTCTATTTCTTTCCCAGTGTATGCAGGGGAATAAAGCAGTAATGACCAAGTCTAGCTCAGTATCTGCTTTCCTGACAGGGTCCATCGTTAAAAGATGAGGAGGGATTCCCCTAAATGGACAAAGAAGTGAAGACCAGATTAACAAGGAACAGTGCATTAAACAGTTTTGATGAAGAGCACCTTGTTTGCTAATGTCATAAAAAGTGTTTATACAATAGTCTTATAATGTTAAGACTGAGAGCTACAGTGCAGACATGAGCACCGTGTGGTGCATCCAGGAGCAGGTCTGGCCCTTAGGGAGGACCTCTCTCCTGGAGGTGGCTGTATCTGTTCAAACACATCTCGGTTTGTTGTTTTTATCCCTGCGAGGCAGAGGGGATCTGTTTTCCATGGGAGCCATGGGGAGGCTACTTCTGCCATGTTTATTTGTCTTTCTCATTGACAGAAGCTTTTATCAGTGAAGTTTTAAAGGCTTCAGGAGTCACCACCAGCTTTTCCGTTGTTACTCTTAATCTAATAAAAGAGGACATTTAAATATTATGTGCAGGTGTGTGGTAGAGCAATCTGACACCAAAGGAAAGTGCATTAACCGAACAGCAACAAAACAAACTAACGTAGCTGTGCAAAGTAATATCTAGAATAGTCAGAAACTTGAGTTGGATTTGTTGACACCTTTGACTTGAGGCGTTTTACACAGTTTTGACTTGGAACGTTGTCATAACATTTGCTGTGAATCTTTACAGCTTGTATGTGGTCTGTGGTAGATGACTTAAAATGACTACAGCAGTAAGAGTGGAAATTGTTGTGGAAAGAAAAGATTTACGAACACCACTAAATGCTATAAAATGTTAGTCAGTGACTTTTGTTACAGAAGGCCTGAGGTGCCACATACAAAGACACCAGATGACATTCTCAAAAGCGCAGCTTCTTTGGGCCACCGAGGAAAAACAAGGATGTTTATATGTCAATGCATGAGACGGAAGCGTGGGAGGAATCAGAAATTGACTACTTTGGCCTCTGACCTCTTCACTGGGACTTTAAAAACAGAGACACCAGGTAAAAACTGACAGACTGGAGTGTGCAACGTACTAAGGTTTGATTCAGGCGGATGACACAGGAAGAGTCAGTGTGGCCTGACACAAGTGTGAAGGACAATAAAGAGGGGCTTAAGGGGCTTCAGTGGCTGTCGTGGATAACAGAAGGACAAATGAGAGGATTTCTAACAGCCGCCCTCGACGAGCCCAGCTGAGTCAACATCAACGTGATGGGAACAAGGAAATACCTACAAGGCAGTGGCAGTGCTCCTCAACAGATAATTGAGCTCATATAATTGTGTCATATAAAATTCATGGAACTAAATGTATTTTAGTCTGAAGCACTACTCCACTATATATATATATATATATATATATATATATATATATATATATATATATATATATATATATATATATATGGCTCATCATGGCTGCACAGGAACAGGCCCTGAGCACCAGAGCGATAGAGGCCCAGATATACCACACCAGACAAGACCCAAGGTGTCGGTTGTGCAAAGAGGCACCTGAGACGATCCAACACATAACTGCAGGGTGCAAGATGCTGGCAGGGAAGGCCTACATGGAACGCCATAAACAAGTGGCTGGCATAGTGTACAGAAACATCTGTGCAGAGTATGGGCTGGAAGGTCTAAGTGGGAAACTCCTCCAAAGGTGGTGGAGAATGAGCGTGGAAAGATCCTGTGGGACTTCCAGATACAGACCGACCGAATGGTAATGGCGAACCAACCTGACATTGTGGTGGTAGACAAAGGGCAGAGGACAGCCGTGGTGGTGGACGTGGCAATTCGAAGCGAAGGTAACATCCGGAAAAAAGAACATGAAAAGCTTGAGAAATACCAAGGTCTCAGAGAGGAGCTGGAGAGGGCCTGGAGGGTAAAGGTGACAGTAGTGCCCGTGGTGATCGGTGCACTCGGGGCAGTGACCCCGAAGCTAGAAGAGTGGTTACAGCGGATCCCTGGAACAACCTCGGACATCTCGGTCCAGAAATGTGCAGTGCTAGGAACAGCAAAGATACTGCGCAGAACCCTCAAGCTCCCAGGCCTCTGGTAGAGGACCCGAGCTTAGAGGGATAACCACCCGCGGAGGGCCAATGGTGAGTGGACAATTTCATATATATTTATGTATTGAATATATATATATATATAAAAAAAAAAATTGTCCACTCACCTTTGGCCCTCCGCGGGCGGTTATCCCTCTCTAAGCTTGGGTCCTCTACCAGAGGCCAGGGAGCTTGAGGGTTCTGCGCAGTATCTTTGCTGTTCCTAGCACTGCACATTTCTGGACCGAGATGTCCGAGGTTGTTCCGGGGATCCGCTGTAACCACTCATCTAGCTTCGGGGTCACTGCCCCGAGTGCACCGATCACCACGGGCACTACTGTCACCTTTACCCTCCAGGCCCTCTCCAGCTCCTCTCTGAGACCTTGGTATTTCTCAAGCTTTTCATGTTCTTTTTTCCGGATATTACCATCGCTTGGAATTGCCACGTCCACCACCACGGCTGTCCTCTGCCCTTTGTCTACCACCACGATGTCAGGTTGGTTTGCCATTACCATTCGGTCGGTCTGTATCTGTAAGTCCCACAGGATCTTCGCACGCTCATTCTCCACCACCTTTGGAGGAGTTTCCCACTTAGACCTTGGGGTTTCCAGCCCATACTCTCCACAGATGTTTCTGTACACTATGCCAGCCACTTGGTTATGGCGTTCCATGTAGGCCTTCCCTGCCAGCATCTTGCACCCTGCAGTTATGTGTTGGATCGTCTCAGGTGCCTCTTTGCACAACCGACACCTTGGGTCTTGTCTGGTGTGGTATATCTGGGCCTCTATCGCTCTGGTGCTCAGTGCCTGTTCCTGTGCAGCCATGATGAGTGCCTCTGTGCTGTCCTGTAGGCCAGCCCTTTCTAGCCATTGGTAGGACTTCTTGAGATCAGCCACTTCTGTTATGCTCCGGTGGTACATGCCGTGTAGGGGCTTGTTCTCCCATGATGGGCTCTCCTCCAGCACCTCCTCATCTCGCCACTGCCTGAGACATTCACTGAGTACGTCATCCGTTTTGGCCTTCTCCATGATGTAGTTATGGAGTTTGGATGTTTCGTCCTGGACAGTGGCTCTCACACACACTAGTCCTCGGCCTCCTTCTTTACGGCTTACGTACAGTCTCAGGGTGCTGGATTTGGGATGGAACCCGCCATGCATGGTAAGGAGCTTTCGAGTTATATATATATATATATATGTACATCTTTTTTGAGTCAATTAAGCCTTGATTTTATTATTGAAGCAGTTTCATTACTTTTGATATGCTTAGACCCACCATATAATACGAAGTAAAACAGTTCTGACATTTACCTGTTTGAAGGTGATGCAAGAATATGCATTTACACCTTCATGCATATTAGTTATATCACTGTTATATATGAGTTCAAACAAACGAATATTACAGGTATACTATTTTTAGAGTATTGAATAACTTGCCAATGTGCGGTAAACAGCCTGATGCTTTAATGAACTGTCAAACTGAGCAAGACAGACATAGTAGATCACACTGGACAAATACACAGAGCTAAAGATATCACATCTGTGTTTCATTTCCTAGGGAGCCAGAAAGTTGTCCGCTTTTCTGAAAATATTTGAATTGCAAATATCAGATGTTAGGACAAATTAAATCAGCTGCGTTGACCAGTGATTGTCATTTAGACACATCTTGTACTGGCAGCAAGAGCCATGAAGCTTTATACAAAGCCTTGGCTTGAATTCAGCGTTTGCTCTAACAATCTCTCCAACAGGTTTGGACAGATGCAACACTGATTTACACCATCAGTCCTCACCCTCACTCACTAACCAGAAATATACTAGGCAAAAAGGATGGAAGTATCCTGTCAAATAATAATAAAAAAAAAAAAAAAATCTGAAATTCAATTAGTTATTAGGTAATTTAATTCAACCAAATGGGAAGAGTTAGATCATCATCTGAAGTGAATACATGAGCTCATTTCTTTTGCTCAGTGTCACTCATACTGTATTTATTACCACAGTGGGTTGCTCCTATACCATGTATGCACCTCCAATGATGATGTAGGAAATTGAACCTGGCAAGTCAAAACATTAGCTAAGTTACTTAGCAAATGAACAATATTTACTCTAATTTCTACGAAGGTTTTAAAAATAAATGCTTGTTATATGAGCTTTGGTAAATAATGTATAATTTAGGAAGTCAATATGAGCTGCATAAATGTACCATAAAAGGGAAGGGAATAATTAAGTCCTTTTATGTCGGACTTACACGATACTTTAGCACTATTTACATAGACTTTGGTGCAACTGATTTTCCCACAAAGACAACATCATTAGGAAAAAGGTCTCGGCTTTGGTCTGTAATTGGTCCTTTTTATTTTGTATATCTATTTTGTGGATGATGGAGATTCCCCTGAGTGACATCCACAGGACAGCGCATGCAGTGTGATGTTTTATTTTAGTCTATAAAACATTATGAGAATGCTGAGACAAAAGTAGGAAGGAAGGACAGTACCGAGGAAGGGAAACCATTTAGGTTCAACTGGGAAAAACATTTTCTATGTTAGATCCGTCTTTTGTATAGAAGAATGTGACTTTGAAAATATGAATTAAACCAGAACATTTTACGTAACAGGGGTATAAAATATTACAACCTAGTTGATTTCAATCTGTTTGTGTTTCTAATGCATACTTTTCATCGTTCATTTCACATGTTCACCAGCAGTGGGTACAGTCTTGAAAATGGAACTGAATAACCTAAATTAATTATCGACAGGAATCAGATCATTTTTCAGTTATTCTTAGCATAATTCTCAGCCAATGTATACTCAATATATTATCATTTCTTAATTTACTACATTCCCATTGGAGTCTTAACATCTGACAAACATCATATTCTTTTCCTTGAATAAAAGGCCCCTGACTCAGCTGGCTCTCTGTGGAGTTCTTGGAGCACCTTCTCACCATATAAATCTGAAGTCTAGAGCACATGGGGGTCACAGCCTCAGTTCATCCATGGCAGAATAGGTTGAATGTACTTTTCAGTTGCCAATTTAATACATAAAAACTAAGGAATCATGTGGTTTGGATTTAACAATAACCTGCAAATCCTGAAATGTGAAAACAGAAAGCCATGTTAGTGTACCTACTGTATCAGGCTTTTAACAAGAAAATTTATCTTTTAGTGCACCGTGTCTTGGCTTGAATACAGGATC